CTGTATTTTTGAAACAAAGACAGCAGAAGTCAATAATTTATTTGAATTAATTAGCCTGACATGTTTACTGTAATAAAATATTATACATTTAAAAAAAAAAATACATATATTGTTTTCGATAGGGGAAAAAAGGTTTTGTTTTTTACCCACATTTAAAAATATTATAATTTAGAGCAGTGAGCACAATACCGTGATACTGTGATATTTTTATCCAAGGTAATCATACCGTCAGAATCTTATACCGGCCCCAGTCCTACTACATATACTGGCTTACAATGACTGTTTTTTTAGCACAGCACAGAATCGTGTTCTGCTGCAAAATTAACATATTTTTAGCTTTATATTCAGTGATTATGACTGTGTGAGTGATAAGTGAACCAGGCCTACTGTAAATGCGTTATTATCCTTTCAGTCCAGACCAAGAGAACTTGAACTGTGTGAACACCCAATATTTTTAGTTTCTGTCACTTATTTGTTTTCATTGTTAATGATTATGATCCACGTCTGATTCTGTGAATCATTTTCTTCTCTGAATTAAGCTGCTTTTCTTTTATTCTGCTGATTCTCGTGGATTTTACGTGACATAATGCTTTAAAATGACAGTTTACCCAGAAATAGAAAGTCTGTCATCATTTACATATAATGATGCTGTTAAAACCTACTTAAGTGGGCAAAATTTTCATTTCACTTTACTGTTTTTTATTAAACAATAATACAATTTAATGGGATAATTCACATAAAATGAAATGATGCCATAATTTATTCACATTTTACTTGTTTCAAAGCTTTATGAGTTTCTTTATATTTCTGAAAAGGGCTAAAAAACTAACTAATGGCTTCTATAGAATTTGTTTGTCCTATGGAAGTCAAGTCAGAGTTCTTTTTGGGGATATTTCAATGCAAATCAATAGATTTTTTTTTTTTTCAAAACATGTTACTTTGTGTTTAACAGAATAAAGAAAGATTTGGAACCACTTGAGGGTGAATAATTGTTTTTGTTTTTTTTTTTGGGTGGGGGTGGTAGTGGGGGAACAAAATATTTTCACTAGAATATTTGCACTATATTCTTCAAATGTTTGTAACTTATATGTTATGTTATTTATTTAAAGTATGAATCCAAAATAAATATGTTTTTCCAAATCAAAAGTCAGAATGTTAGGAGAATACAGCACAAATTATCTGCATCATGTACCTTTGTTTTTTTTTTTTTTTTGTTTTGTTTTTTTGAGAGTTGTAATGAATGACAAAAGGAAGTCCCACAAACTTCTCTTCCATTAAACGAGGGAAACGTGTACGATGGTAACCGGAGCAAACAGTTACAAATGACCTCGTCTTCAATCAAGTCATGCCTCATCCCACAGTTCCTCTCTGCTCACTCTCCACTTTCTCCAGTCTGTCATCACAAGGTTACATGAACTGCTCCTTCTTAATCATGTGTGAATCCTGTTACGCGTTCTCAAAACTGCTGAGTGCATGAGCGTAGCATCACGAGGTGTAAAACGATAGTCATCCTGAATCAAAGGAAGTTCTTTGCATGACATTTACCCTCAGAAACCTCAAGCTCTCCCTGACACTACTATAACTACACTTTTCTAAAAACAGATTCTGTGGGATAAGGACTTTCACCTGAAGGCCTATAGCAGGTCCTATTTGTGTAATTTGCACTCAGTCAGACTGGTGAAAAACTCACTGTAACCTGTCTGGCTGCCTGGACAGGTTCTATCTGGCAGTGCAAAAGCAACGACATAAAAAAGACATAATTAAAAGTGTTTATCCCCTCATCCTTAGTGTGAATGTTGTTGTGACACATTAAATCGTCTGAAACAGACGGGGTGTGCACTGATTTTACTAGCAGCAATGTAAAATGTAGTAAATCCATAGAGAAACCACCGGGACAACATTTTTCAAGGTTTAATGGAGATGAAAAGACCTTTTTTTTTTTTTTTTTTTGTAGTGGCGGGGAAACTTTACCATTTTTAATAACTTGTTTAAATCATCATGGTTAGTTCATGTAGTCTACATTGAGTGTATGCTTATGGTACAATGGTAAACAAAAAAGTTTTTTTTTTTTTTGCATATATGAAATGTTTTGTGTACAGACAGTATCAACCCAAGCTCATTCTGAAAACGTACACCTATATACATTTCTGGAGAGTGCCAAATATGTCCTAGGTGCTTTGTTTTTTGCAGTTTTTGTTTTTGCAAACCCACAAGTGGCCACTGTGTATGTACTTTTACCTCAAACCTCAAACTTTTTTTAAAGGTGCCATCCATGCCTGCTCTTAACATCCACACCTGCCGTTATCGCGTAAATCCACCAGAGGCCGCTGTCGACAGACTGACTCATCGACTGACCCACCCTCCTCCTTACCCAAAACAAAACCAATAGTGTTTTTAAAAGCACAGATTGACCTGCCCACCTAATACCTAAATCCAACTGACAGTGTTTTAAACAGCAAACCAGAAAAAGAAAAGCCCTTACCACATTTTCAGATTTTACTACATTCTCACCCTTTTATTTACTTCTTTATTTTATTTTCTGGTTTCTGTTTTTGTCTTACCAACTTTCTAGGACTGTAATTTGTCACATAGTAACCCGGTCATCATAGTCAACTCCTCTCTGCGTCTCAAGTCTGCCGATGTACATGGCAAACTACTGAACAAATTGGTAACAGCGGAAAAGCAGGAATGCCATTATACCGTCCTGTATCATTAATTTTTAATACAAAATGCAGCCATACGTACTTCTGGCAGCAAAATTCACAATCTCTATAAATATAGGAGGATGTTTTCAGAAAGAGCTGATGTTATAGAGTGTTTTCAAAACAACCCCAACTTACCATAATTAGCAAAATGACTAAAAACATTGTATTGTTAGCCAAGAAATTTAACTATTTTAAGTATTTTAAAATTTATGTTTTTTATTTGAAGGCTTGGGCCACAAGCCCCACCTCTAAACCCAACAACTATGAGCAAATCATATTTAAATGTATAAAATAAGATCAAACAAATTCATACGAATTAACAACTTATCAAAAAGTAACAAATTATTGTGAGATTGGGTGGGTATTTTATTTTGTCAATGCAAGGGCTTTAGCACCAAACAGTTGTAGAAACTAACTAAGAGGAACCATGCACCAGGACCGGTTACCCAAAAATTAATTTCCACTAGACAATTTTCCTGGTTGTGTCACTAGGAACTCTGAAATGACTTATAGTTATAGGGTCTAGAGCAGGGGTCAACAACCATGTTCTTGGAGAGCTACCTTCCTGCAGATTTCAGTTGCAACCCTGACCAAACACACCTGTTTGTAATTATCAATTGCTGCTTTAGGTACTATTAATTGGTTCAGGTGTGTTTGATCAGGGTTGGGACAGAATTCTGCAGAAAGGTAGCTCTCCAAGAACAGGGTTGGTGACCCCTGGTCTAGAGGGACCAGCCACCAGGACCAGTTCCCCCCAAAAATAATTCTTACTAGACAATTTTCCTGATTCCACAACTAGGAAGTCTGAAGTGAATTATAATCAAAGGTACAAGCTAATAAGAACTAACCACCAGGACCTGTTTCCCAAAAAAATTATTTTCACTAGACAATTTTCCTGGTTGTGTCACTAGGAACTCTGAAATGACATATAGTTATAGAAACTAGCTAATAGCAACCAGCCCCCAGGACTGGTTCCCCAAAAACTAATTTCCACTAGACAGTTTTGCTGGTAGTGTCACTAGGAACTCTGAAGTGGCATATAGGAACTAGCTCAAAGGAACCAGCCACCAGAAAAAAGTTCCCCAAAAATAAATTTCCATTAGACAATTTTCCTGGTTGCATAACTAGGAACTCTGAAGTGACACATACTGTATAGGAACTCGCTAATAGGAACCATCCACCAGGACCAGTACCCTAAAAACTAATTTACTTTAGACAGTTTTCTTGGTTGTGTCATTAGGAACTCTGAAGTGTCATACAGTATGTTGGCCTACAGTTGAAATGTAGAGTTATGTGAATGAAATAACAAAAAGCCGGAATATATAAACTTTTTGTGGTGCTAAATATCAGCTTGGCAAAAAAAGGCACGCCACAAACAAAGATGACACATGATACTGACATTTTCTTTTTGAATGTGTAAAATGCTGTGCTGTTGTTGTGATCAGTTCTTATGCCATTGCAATTCCTTCTGTGCTAATGTAGTTCGTTCAAATGGCATTCCTAGAACCAAAACCCTTCCCAGTTCTTGTAGTGCCAAAATGAGGGCATTATCAGACATAATCAAATGCATTTCATTAGAAAAAAAAAGCATTTAATTATGCATCAGATCAGGTAGTGGTAACAGTAAAAATAGCAGTTTCACTTTTTTCTAACTTTTAATGAAAGTTACAATAAAGTACAGCCAAAACAAAGTAAATAACACATGCGGTTCGAGCCATCTGAAAAGGCAGTTTCACTTTTCTCTGGAGAACTGCTTGTTTCCATGGATACGCTGAATTTCCCAGGACAAACTTTCCTGCCAACTCTAAACTGAAGACACACAAACCACGTGCGCAGAGGTTATGAACTTATTATTTTCCCTTTCTAAGCTCTGATTTGGCTTTTTAGGGGGATTATTTGGATTGAGCAACTTTTGAGACTTTGTTCCCATGTCAAGTCGTTTGCGTCAGAAACATTTTTGTTATATATTGTGAGGACAACACATGAAGTAGTTGCACAACTTTTAAAGCCCTGCTATAAATCTGTTGTGCTGCTTTAGAATTGTTTTCTTTGCATAGAAGCAGAGGAGGTGGGAAAAAATTGCATCAGCTTGGCATAACCTTAATGCATAACAAGTTATGAAATATCTTTGAACTGACCTGCAGAACGTTATATAATGTTTCTTAATGCTAAAACCAAGAAGTGTAACCTAGTTATTTGATGACACTTTTGCAAATGATCTAATGACATGCCATTATGTCATTAACATAACAATGAAAGTTATTTCAAACTCTCACACAACTTTCTTTCTCTTACCCACGAGCAGACAGAGGATGTCCAGCCCAACCAGCATCTTTCTGCTGGAGCACTGAACCGTATCCACAGGTTCAGCGGGGCTCAGGATGTGCTTCGTGCCGTTCTCCCTCGCTGCCTCTCCGGATCCGCCGTTATCCGCCAGCCGCTGCTGGAGCTCCGAATTCATACTGTTCACCGAATTCAACTTCTGCATGATGTCCGTAAAATTCAATACTTTTTTTGCGTATATGTTATCCTTTATAACGCAGATAAAACCAACTTGACAGCTTAAGAATAAAGTTCACTTTAAGTTTCGAATCCTTCTGAACGTTTCCGTTAAAATCCAATAACTGTCACAACTCAAGCGTACGTTTAAAATAAGTGAATGCCGAAACTTTAACTAATAAAAGCGAACAATCTTGCACAGGGATCCTGGTTCGCTCTCTTTTACACGAAAACTCCTTTCTCCAGCACTTGAGAGAAGTTTGAGCTGCAGTTTGGCCATCATCATCTGGACATGATGGAGAAAAGCACATTCCTGAAAACATATGTCAGTCAAAAGTTGTCATCCTCTGTGACTTGTACTCTCCATGTCAAAACTCCTATTTCCTTCCCCAACCGAGAGAAAACTTGAAGCGGATCGTGTTTTGATTTGTGGGTATTAGTTATTCCTCCGCCCCTCTTTGGGGCTGTCACAAATCCTACTGAGCTTCCTTCCTAGACAGCATTCTGGTGTTGAATATGCGATCCGAACGTGTGAAAACTTGGTAGATGGATACTTAGGGAACGTTTTCGCCTGTGAAATTTTATTTTTAATTAATCTGATCGTTAACACCAACATTGAAAAAAGATGTTTAATGCTTGTTCAAACTACTTATTTAAAATAAAATTATTATTATTATTATTATTATTGTTGTTGTTGTTGTTGTTGTTGTTGTTGTTGTTGTTATTATTATTATTACTATTATTATTATTATTATTAATTAATTAATTTATTTATTTATTTATCGTTTATTTTTTATTTTTTTATTTATTTTCTTGTTTTTGTTTTAGGGTTGAACTTGTTTTTTTTTTTTTTTTTTTTTTATGATCTGATCTTTTTATGAATGGTGATTTTGTAATTTGCCAGCCATGTTGACCAGGGAGAGAGTACTGTCCCAATGTGATCTCCTGGCTAAATAAAGGAAATAATAAATAATATTAGTAATAACTTAACTGTTTTATATCTAATCTACTATAATTTCTAAAAACAACTAAATCAATTTGTTTTGCGACAACATAACGTAATTGTGTGAAGTCCTGCATAAAGATTTACTAAGACACAGTAAAAGCATTCTTAGTATAAAATAACAGGATAGTCCACAAGACCACAACAAAGTGGAATGATATGAATAAACTAACTGCACTCTACAAAATTATATGATTATAGCAGCAAATATTTATGACAGTGAAGGTTTTTAGTTCATTGCAACTTATTAAACTAAGTAATCAGGTTCTAACTTGAATTTACGCAGGCTGTTTTAAGTCAGTTTAACATAGCATAATTTCAATGGACTCATAAGGTTAATTTGATTCAGCCTAAGCATTTAAGAAAACCGTGATTATTTATTTATTCATTCATTTTCTTGTCGGCTTAGTGAGTCCCTTCATCAATCCAGGGTCGCCACAGCAGAATAAACCGCCAACTTATCCAGCAAATTATTACGCAGAGGATGCCCTTCCAGCCGCAACCCACCACACACTCATACACTACAGACAATTTAGCCTACCAAATTCACCTGTACCGCATGTCTTTGGACTGTGGGGAAAACTGGAGCACCCAGAGGAAACCCACACAAACACAGGGAGAACATGCAAACTCCACACAGAAACACCAACTGAGCCAAGCACAGCTTAGACTCAAACAAGCGACCCAGCGACCTTCTTGCTGTGATGTGACAGCACTACCCCTGCTTCAGCCCATATTTATTTTTTATTTATTTTTTTTTTTTCTCGTGTGTAATCAGTTATATGAAAAGTTTCTTTTTTTCAGCTGATGAATATAAAACATTGTTTGCCAATTAACTTCTATGCCTTAAAAATGGTCATGCAGACAGAGAAAATGTAGTGCAGATGTGCTGCTGCGCTTTTTTAAATCGTTTTTATAATGTTCTTGGTATGAATGTCCCTCAGATTTGACATTAAGAATTTAAGAAGTTATGTTATGAAATAGAAAGTTAATCCTTTTATGACTTTCTATTTGTTATTGCTATTTAACAGTGTCATATGCAGCTAATTCTAGATCTGTGCATGAAGGGCACAGCCAAAAATAGACAAAAGCTTCTGTTTGGGACAGGTTTATATATTATATATTTGGCTTAATGTACAGTATCGTTATTCTTTTTTTTTATTTCATGTTTGTTTTTTATTTATTAAATTGTTAAAAATATTGTGTGTATGTATATATACATACTGTACACACACAAACACACACACACATATATATATATATTAATATATATATATATATATATATATATATATATATATATATATATATATATATATATATATATATATATATATATATATATATATATATATATATATATATTACAATTTTATTAATTAATAACTGTTTTCTTGTTGTATGTAGTTTCAAATTAAATTATTACCCCAGTCATTTTTAATTTTATTACAATAGTAACAACAACAACAACAATAGAAATAATGATGATAATAATCATTATTATTATTATTATTATTATTATTATTATTATTATTATTATTAATAGTAGTAGTAGTAGTAGTAGTAGTAGTAGTAGTAGTAGTATATAAATATAATAATGACATGAACACAACAACCACAACAACAATAATAATAATAATAATAATAATAATAATAATAATAATAATAATAATACCAATAATAATTATTATTATTAGAGTGATTTTTGAAGGATCATGTGATGCTAAAGACTAGAGTAATGACTTTGAAAAATCATATTTTAAATCACTGGAATTAATTATTAAATAAAATTTTTATAGCACAATAACATTTCACAATTTTACAATTTTTACTGTATTTTTGATTAAGTCAACGCAGCCTTGATGAGCAGGAAAAGCTTATTTTGAAACAATTAAACTACTGACCCCAAACGATAGATGTACAGTGTAATGAAAAAGAAAGTGTTTCCTTTGTACATTTGAAAGGTTTTACATTACAAACTGACCACAATGTCAAAACATTCTTGTTCCAATTAATTAATTAATAAATAAAAAAAAAAGAAAAATAAATAGGTAACAATATATTAAATAAATAATAAAAAATATTAAATAAATAAGAGGCAGCACGGTGGCACAGTGGGTAGCACAATCGCCTCACAGCAGGAAGGTCGCTGGTCGAGCCCTGGCTGGGTCAGTTGGCATTTCTGTGTGGAGTTTGCATCTTCTCCCCGTTTTCGTGTGTGTTTCCTCCAGTGCTCCGGTTTACCCCACAAGTACAAAACATGTAGTATAGGTGAATTAAATAAGCTAAATTGTCCAAAGTGATTGAGGGTGTGTGTGAATGAGAGTGTGTGGATGTTTCCTAGTGATGGGTTGTGACTTAAAGGACATCCGCTGCATAAAACATATGCTGAATAAATTGGCAGTTCATTCCGCTCTAGCGACCCCAGATTCATGAAGGGGCTAAGCCGAAAAGAAAATGAATGAATGGATAATAAATAAATAAATAAATAAATAAACATTTTATTCATGCAAGGCATGTAACAGTGCAAAACTGGGAATATTTGATCCTTATAAACACATGTACATTGCAGAGTCATTGACATTTCAAATAAGTCCTAAAGATATGTCCTAAAATTCAGAGTGTTTATTCAGCAAACCTTTTATTGATGTTTATTAGACCTTTGAACACAGCAGATGTTTACCAAACAATACATCTTGCAGACATATGTCAACCATTTTTCAAAGTTATGTTTGTATAGATAACACTGATTTGATAAGAGTGTGGGTTTCAAAAACGTGTACCTTGAAATTGCCTTAAAAAAGTCTTGCACTTCGACCAAAAAAAAAAAAAAAAAAAAACATTTTCAGGTCCAAAAATTACAACAGTTATGTAAATTAACATCCAATAGTTAGTTTTTAAAAGCAATAGTCACACTCAGAAAGAAAGAAAGAAAGAAAGAAAGAAAGAAAGAAAGAAAGAAAGAAAGAAAGAAAAAAAAAAAGAAAGAAAGAAAGAAAGAAAGAAAGAAAGAAAGAAAGAAAGAAAGAAAGAATTGTCTTTTATCAATAGTGTAGCGAAGTATCTGACAGAAACCACTTTTAAAGCTCATAGATTTTATTGAAAGCTTTCTGTCGGTCAACACTGCAAATCTGTTCAATCAACTTAAATCCCCTGCAGCAAAGCTTGTCTTCTTTCCTCTCTCTATCCTTTCTCATGAGAGCAGCAAATGTTGCCTCTTCTTGTCTTTCAGCTCCAACTAATTTAAGGCACTGATCAGCAGATTTTTTTCTCTTTTTTTCTTTTTTCTTTTAATTGAATGTAGTAGATTTATATATATTTGTTGTTCACACCTTTTCAATGTACTCACAGCACAGATTACAACAGAATAATATTAACTGTAATCAGTTTTTTACTTTTATTTATTTATTTTTTTGTAAATGTCACTTTGCATAATCTTGGTTCTTGTAAAGGTTTCATGGAGACCTCCATGTTTTCAGTTATATTTGCAAGTCTGGGGATCTTTGGAGAATTGGGAAATGTTGCCATCTGGTGAGTGTTTTGACAATGACATTTTCCTTTCCGTCCCACCTCGGAGAGCCTCTCTGTGCTCTTGAAGGGACAGTTCACCCAAAAATGTAACCAAAAATGTACTCACTATTTACTCGCCCTCAAGTTGATCCAAATTGGTATGAGTTTTATTCTTCTGCTGAGCACAAAAGAAGATGTTTAGAAGTTAGCTGAATGGTTTTGTCCTTTGTTATATACATTTTAATCAAGCATATTTGATTGGCATTCTAAAGCTTATGGTAAATCTTTACCACCTGATGCAGAACTTGTAGTCCTTGTCTTTAGGTATGATTGTGGCTTGTGCAACGGGATTGGAAGTCATCTTTACCCCCTTCATTTTCAAATTGAATTGCGAACATGATTTTGGTAATACAGGTAGAATGATTGAGATTTCTGAGGACTCATTCTATTGACATTTTTTGTAGTGTTTAGGGTTCTTAACTATCTGGATGAACAAACCAGCCAGTCAACCTCTGTGATTTCTCAGAGACTTGATTGACTTATTTTATTAATTTATTAATTTATTTAGTTTTATTTCTTTATAATGTTTTCTGTTGTCACCCGCTAAACTATGTTGTCATTGTTGTTTTGCTCTTTGACACATTCGATGGGATTTGTCTGGGACAGTGGCGAGTGTTGTGTGTATGTGTTTCTTTGTGGTTGTTCTTAAAAAAATCCAACAAAA